GGGGGGGGGACATGAAACTGTAACGTTACATGACTGCTTCATACTTCTAATAATATGGATATTTTTCTAACGCATTATTTATTCAATAGGCTGAAGTTGATCAGAGGCGTAATATGGATTCATGGTAGAAGGGGAACAACCCTTTTTAACAGCTCGGCATATTACTATTTCAACTTCAACAATCATGGATTCATATTCATAAGACCATATCTAAATTGAAAAAAATCTTTTAATAAGCTGTAAGATTCTTTTAGATGATACATGTACTTCATGAAACAATAATGATGTTATTTTTTCTTTATTATAGACCACAGGTACTATAGAATGTCTGTCAGCTCAGCTATGATTTATATCATTGGTGTATTGACAGTCAAGTGTATATATAGTACCTGTGCTAAACCACCGACTAAGACAATCTAATTCCGTGGCTAAACCTTTAAACAAAACAATAACAAATATATAAATGTATAATATTGACAGACAAGTCGACTAAGTCTAGTATTTATAAAAAGGAATTACACCTATGTATCTTTTGTTCTAAAATGCCATGATGAATACAGAATGCTGTTTCTGTTTTTGCAAAGGTGATCAACTCGATGAACCAACAGCCATTGTTGATGGTTACAGTTCCTATTTCAGTTTCTCCCGTAAGCGGAGTGGCTACTCAGGTATGTGCAGACAGCACAGCAAGTTTTTGGTCTTTCGATTATATAAAAAAAAAAATCCTGAATACCTAGGTACTTTCAATCATACCATATTCACATTTCAATTTTTTAATGAACAAACTTACTATTCTTTTGTTGTTGATATAGCTAATATTGGTGATATAATGAAGTAAAGATGAAATAAAATGTAAAAGTAACAATTTTGGAATAACTGCCTGCCATCCGGGTCCTTTTGTACTGTATGTACTGTATATGCTAGCAGGGAGAATCCTGGAATTTGAGAGCAGTGGGCCATTTTCAGATATTTTTTTTAGTCAATATCAAACTGATGGGCACATATATGTAAAATTTAATGAAACTTGGAACATGGAGGGGTCAATGGCCCCATGGTCCTCTTCAGGATTATCCCTGATGTTAGTTTGTGCAGCCCTGGAGTACAAACTTCCAGGAAAACCTTAGTGTGAAGAAGATTAAAATGGAACATGGGCGGCTACGCACGACTGTTTGTTTTGTGATGAGGACACTAGTCGCAATCAACAAAATCTTTATAACATCTATATTTCTTGCACTTTGCTTCAATACATTTATTTATACCTCAGATGTATTAGTGATATATACATAATATTTAAAAGAATTTTAAAATATATTGTGGTTTTGTGAATTTTGTTTTTTCATAATTACATATTTTCTTTATCATTAATTTAACAGTAGAAAGCTCAAGGGAAATTCAAAAATCTACAGACTGTATGAAAAAAGATCCCTCTTTTTTTTTTACTGAAGATGAGATATTTTGCTGAGAATGTTATCAGTTATGCAATATCAACTGGTTGTTTATGCCTGGTTTTATAAATTCAATAAACAGTCCATGATGTTTGATCACAAATTTATTGTTATCGGCATCTTAAACCATTGATATACTTCATGTAACCAGGTGTTGCCAATTTCTGCCGAGACTCGGCCACACCATGTAGTGCTGAGGAGGGACTAACCTCGCTGTTAAACCAGAAGGATGATGGAAAGGTGGGTTGCTATGGTGACACGACACATTTCTCAACAGATGAGCTTGAGGCCCTTGATGCGGAAGGGCGGACAGTCATCACACAACATCGGATACAGTTGAGTGATGGAAGCGAGGGTCGTCTGGCAATTATCAACGTTTACTGCCCAAGAGTGGATCCTGAGCGGGATGATAGGAAGGTCTACAAGATGAGATTTCTAGCTCTCCTACAAACTAGGGCAGAGGCACTTCTTCAGAGTGGAAGGTGATTATAACTCTCTCTGTATTGTCCTCCAATTTAATGAACTCCAGGTACTATTTTTAGCATACTGTTGTTAACTACACTGCATACTTGTACTGTAAAACATCCTCGTTTATTACATGTGTTTGATCAAGGGGTGCAAGATATTTGAAATCATGACTGACTTACCTTGTCATTTAAAGCAAAATGTTATTTACAGAGTTTTCATTTAATGTTGATAGTGTTTTTGTACATTTGTTTTGAAAAAAATGCAATATTCTGGGATATGCCAGCCAAAAAGGGAGGCAACCATGACAGTGGTTTTTTAGCTTACCTGGTCTGAAGGACCAAGGTGAGCTTATGCCATACCGTTGCGTCCGTCGTTCGTCCGTCAGTACGTCAACAATTTCTATAAACGACTTCTTCTTCTTAACCACTGATTGGAATTGAACTAAATTCTTAACCACTGATTGGAATTGAACTAAATTTGACTGGAAGCATCCCTAGTTGGTGGGGATTCAAATGGTGGGGCTGACCCCCCCAGGGGGCTGAGAGCGGGGCAAAAAGGGGTCAATTTGGCTATACTGCTTTAAGCAACTTCTTCTCTGGAACTAAGGAGTGGATATTAACCATATTTGACTGAAAGCATCCCTAGTTGGTGGGGATTCAAAATTGTACAAATGATGGGGCCGACCCCCCAGGGGGCTGAGGAGCGGGGCAAAAAGGGGACAATTTGGCTATACTGCTTTCAGCGACTTCTTCTCTGGAACTGAGATGGATATCAACCATTATTGACTGGAAGCATCCCTAGGTGGTGGAGATTCAAAATTGTACAAATGGTTGGGCTGACCCCCCAGGGGGCTGAGAGGCGGGGCCAAAAGGGGGCAATTTGGCTATATTGCTACAAACGACTTCTTCTGTAGAACTTTGCCATGGATATCAACCATATTTGACTGGAAGCATCCCTAGGTGTTGGGAAGTCAAACTTGTACAAATGGTTGGGCTGACCCCCCAGGGGGCTGAAGGGCGGGGCAAAAAGGAATCAATTTGGCTACATTGCTTTAAGCGACTTCTTCTCTGGAACTAAGAAGTGGATATCAACCATATTTGACTGAAAGCATCCCTAGGTGGTGGAGATTCAAAATTGTACAAATGGTTGGGCTGACCNTAGGGACCTAGTTTGTTAGTCACAGCTTGGAAACAGTTGAGCTCCCCAACCCATAACCATACATAAAATTGCTGGGCATGAAAATTCTAATACAGATATGCTACAAGGATTGGCCTTGGGGTCTGGCATATTCCCTTGATCTCATTCGGAGAATATATTGCCATTATTGCTTTGGTATCCAGGTGAGAGATACAGGCCCTCTGGGCCTCTTGTTTATAAGCCTGAAATGAATGTAATGGGTCGTATTATACATCACACATACCAGGTAATTGTCTTTGTTGATCCTACAACAAGGGATATAAATAGAATAATGATGATCAGGCTTACTGCCATTGTATTGGTCCATTTTGTTCAAAACACAGGTGTGGTGCCTTTTGCTTAATTTTCTTGAGAGACTCCAAATAAGGGAAATGTGACTAGGGAAACTGGAGGGCTGGAGCGAAGCACATTGTTGTATTTCCCTGCCATATAATCAATACATGTATCATCCAACCAGGCATGCTTTTATATAGATAAGGTATGGCCTATGTCTGTTCAACATACTGTGTCCACATTTAATGTAATTCACTTACTGGGGACTGATTGGTCAGTGCATATCATGACTTCTGGCAAGTTCTGTAAATATGATTGTATCGAAATGAAACTTGGGCAACAGGACAACTGAGGCCAGGTTTTATTATTTCAAAGCAGAAATTATTAAGTTATTATTTATTTACTTAATTAACATACATAACTACAACCTGAGCAGGGTACAATTCAAGATGTCAAATAACTCAATTGCATTCATAAGAAATGGCTCTAGCTTCACATTTGAAATTGACAGCATTTTAAAAGGTAATACTTATGCTAAGCTGGGTAATGTAGGTACAAAAGTCTTGTTTGAAAATGCTTTCAAAGCGGACACCAGTTGAAGTTTCGTACTTAATACCGAGGTGTCTGTATATCACAAATTGCTCTAATTCAGCTAGGAGACATGGTTGCTTTGCAATATCAAGTATTTTTTGTCTACTTTCAGTCATGTAATAGTCCTTGGAGATCTGAATTTGAATCATAAAAGGATTGACAACTGTGATCCAGTTTTGGAGGTAAATTACAGAGTAAAATATTTGGGTAACCATGGTTAACTCTCAGTTCTGATTTTTAGCTCACCTGGTCTGAAGGACCATGGTGAGCCTATGCCATATGCCATACCGCAGCGTCCGTCTGTCAACTTTTCCTTTAAAATTCTACTAGTCCTGAACAGCTTTATGGATTTTGACTAAATTTGGCCTTGGTCAAAGGGTTCTCAATTTTGTATAAATGAGGGGTGTTTTGTGCCTGCTTAAATCTGTTTATCTACTACTGTGTAGGCCTAGGTGTGTGCAAAGATGCGAGTATTATAATTTATACCTATACAATGAAAAACTACAGGATAGGCATTTGAGGACACAGCAGAAATTGAGATTGTTTTGTTTTATACAGTATTTATATACAACCAAACAAGCACAATAGCCGGGCCTTTTCAGTAAGAAAACACCTACTTTACACATATGTACCACATTCTTGTCACTTTGAATTTACACAATATATCACAAGCAAGAATTATATGTATCATAAGCCTAGTGAGATATAAAAAAAAATGTTTACCATTGGACAATTTGAAATCTCACAAGTATGATATCAATTAGTTCAAACGTAAAATAAATTACTTTTTTTATAATGATGATTGTGATCTTATTCCGAAGAGGCTATTGATTCAGAATAAATGCCTCTACTTGTGTTCCAAAGAAGTTAGGTGACTTAAAGGATTTTTTCATTAATGATTAAGAACGCCAAGAAAACTTTGACTCTTGTCAGTTGTCTATTTTCTCGACATGAGTTTTTCATAACTTAATTATCATGAAAGATTTTGTGACAAGACTATATGAAAAACTCACTTCACAAAATTGTCTCTTTAAATGAACTATGATAAAAACAAAACAAAATACTTTACACTGAAATAGCTATAATTGTTCTTGAAAACAGAGATTTGATTTAATATTTCAATCAGAGTTATGCACCTTTTCTGTTTTCCTTTTAAAATGTCTGTCCTAAGTACTATTACTAGCTTCTCGGTCAGTATTTATTAAACTTTATAAACTGACTGGTACTTTAGGTAGTTGTGTGATTGCAAATTCTTTTTTAGTTCAACAACTTTTACAGGAGTTATTAACCTTCTCTGATTTGTTCTATTGGAGCCTATTCTTTGCTGTTCTAGGTAGGTTATAAACCATAAATATTAGTATATGATAATTGTTTATTTCAGGATTGGGGAAAGGCCCCTAGCAGAATGTGGATGAACCAGTTTGTGTGGGAGCCGGGAAGAGATCCAGACATAGAGTCTATTGGTAATACAGAGGAGTTTCTAGGTACCACATCCTCGGTGAAGGGTGGACTGTTTGTCGACACATTCAGACACCTGTACCCTACCAAGACCGAGGCCTATTCCAACTGGTGTACCCTCACATCTGCACGTGAAACAAACTATGGCCGGAGGCTCGACTACATTTTATGTGATGTTTCTATGACTAAAAGGGACCTGAAGGAGAGTTTGGTGATGAGAGATGTTGAAGGATCCGACCACTGTCCAGTGAAGACAGAATTTACATCATCATTTCTACCAGCCGGCAAATGTCCTGCTCTATGTACAAAATGTATGCCAGAATTTGTCGGAAAGCAACAAAAACTGTCATCTTTCTTTGTGAAGGCCTCAAAGTCAAATGATTCATCATCAAAACAAGGCAACAAAGGATCACCCAAAAAGACATTATCAATTACCTGTGTGAGTGAACAGAGATCAAAGCACGTGTCAAACTCTCAGGTTAAGTCTCCGAATAAGTCCGAAGGCGGCCTTAAACGATCCAACAGTGATCGCTCTGAACGTTCAGGACCTCTAGCAAAGAAAAAGAAAGGTGACATAAAGAACGGCTCGTCACTTCCGAAACAGTCCAACCTTATGAATTTCTTTGGTAAACCAGCATCTAAGAAAGACACTACACCCGACACCTCGGTTACAAGTCGAGCCGATTGTGAGGTAGTCAAAATCTGCCAAAACGATCAAGAAAATGGAAATGAAAAAAACAAAAGTGTCTCTACAAGAAATGACTCTAAGGTGGATTTGATAAGTTCTGAAGATAACGAATCACCGTCCAGCTCTCAGGAGCTGAAGGGCGGTGGAGAAATCAAAGTGAAAAAAACTTCAGCACTAGCATGGAAAAGTTTGTTGAAGGGGCCACCGACTGCCCCTTTATGTAAGGGTCATAAAGAGCCATGTTTGTTACGGACAGTCAAAAAGGAGGGGCCCAATAGAGGGAAACAGTTCTTTGTATGTTGTCGGGCAGAAGGTTTAAATTCAAATCCGGAGGCTCGATGTGATTTTTTCAAATGGGTAGACAGTAAAAAATGATTCACGTCATTTGTTTGGCTTTATCATCCTAGGGTAATTAATCTAAGAGACAATGGCTCGAATAACTGATGTGCCGTTGTCTTTAAATTCACAGATTCCATTTTGCACAAATTATGCAGACTTGCAAGATGTCACTTCAAATTATGTCAGAGTGTTAATCTACATACATACCTGTAATATATCTTTTTGAGGTAACAATGTTTTCAATTATGATGTGGTCACTTGGAATCAAAGGGGGACATCATACATTTTGTCCAGGCTGGAGGTGTGCAAGGCACAGTCACTTCTTGGTTAAAGGTTAATTAGATAAGTGCAAAATAATAAAAAAAAAAATTTAACCATTGAGGATATATTTATGAATCTTGAACTTGACCAGCATCACCCAATGTAGATGTGCAACGCAGTGGAATAAGGTCACTGTGACCTTCACCTCTGTGTCAATTTTTTTATGTAAAACAGCTGTAAATTTTAAATTGCAGATAAACTGTTGAAAATTGGTGATCACCCAAAGGTTGTGTAGTGCATTGTGTGAATCAGTGTTCGAGTAAGTTCAAAGCATATGCATATTGGCAAAGAAGTGGAGATCGAGACACATTTTTGTTAACGAAAATGTACATGTCCATGCCCAATATACACTTCACACCACCAATTTGATCAAAGAATTATTGGTGAAGTATTGTCATTTTGTCAGAATAAAATAATGATGTACATGTATGTAATTGATTTGTCTTGTCTTCTGAATACGGGATCAAGCACATTTATGCTTCTGAGAAACCTTTAAAGACATTTTAGACTAGCATCAACCTATACATGGCACTGTTGTATCTTTGAGTAAGATACTTTACTCAGCTTGTTAGGGCCCCGTATCGGAGATACCGGTGCCCTATAGTAATCACTCTGTCTGTCTGTCTGTCTGTCTGTCTGTCCGTCCACAAATTCTGTTCCTGGTTAATAACTTTGGTATTTATTGACCGATGTACATGAAACTTGGTCAAGATGTTCAGTTCACAAAAATACACATTGAGGTAAAAAATCAAGGTCAAAGGTCAAGGTCATTAAGTTCAAAGGTCAAGGTCAAATTTAACATCTTTTCACTGATAAACATTTTGTTATGACATCATGAAGCAAAGTTGATCAGAATTAAACAAGGAGTCAACTGACTAGAGGTCAAGGTCAGAGGTCAAGGTCAAATTATGTAGCTTTTAACTGGTGAACATTTCGCTATGACATTATGAAGCAAAGTTGTTCGGAATTAAACAAAGAGACAAACTGAGGTAAAAAGTCAAGGTCCAAGGTCAAGGTCATTAGATTCAAAGGTCAAGGTCAAATTTGCATCTTTTCACACATGAACATTTTGTTATGATATGATGAAGCAAAGTTGAACAGAATTAAACAAGGAGTCAACTGACCAAAGGTCAAGGTCATTGGGTCAAAGGTCAAGGTTAAATTTTGTACCTTTTCCCTGATGAACATTTTGTTATGACATTATGAAGCAATGTTTTTCAGAACTTTACACAGAGTCAACTGACCTTAGGTCCAGG